TTATTTTGGATATTGTATGATTGAAACAAGTTTATGTCATTCATTTGAAGTGTTCATTAACGTTTCCAGAGTTTACTTTGACAAATATTGCGACATCATAGCGCTCTAACCTGACCCACGCGGGTCAAGTTAGGAAACAACCATTTTATTCTTTATATGGAAAAAGTTTTGTTCCATTGACTGTCTAATATATTTATTTTGAGGGCATTTACGGAATAATGAATGAAAAATTCAAAACTAAGAAATGAAAATTTTGCCTGTGTCTCCCTTTAATGTTGAAAATTTAACTAAGTAGGTAAAAAGGAAGTGGATGAGCGACAGACCTGAAATCGAATCCCACGGTATGGGACCATATGTTAATGCTGTATACCAAATATCAAGAGGCTGTGATAAGTTTCCCCTTTACCGACAATAACCGTCAAGAACCGACAAAAACCTACACATTGCAAGTAAGCACATATAAATGTTTGTTTATTTTTATATTGATAAGTGTTTTTTTCCCTTTTTATAATATGAATATCGACACATATTCCGACAAGAAAAATCAAAGCACAGAAGGCGCTGAATTTGTTTGGGTCTCAGAATGTAAGAAAGGTGCAGGTTGTGAGATTATATGTTTAGTGCCACCAATGCTTTCCAGCGTTTTAATTGTAGTAAATTGGCTATTAGACTAATTGCAACACTGATATTCAATCCAATGTTTATTTGACTTTAACAATTTAAAAAAATGAGTAACCTTTACTGGGATTTGAACTCCAGACCTCTCGCTTCCTAAGCGAGCCCGAAAACCCTTCAGCCACGGTGAATTTATATGTGAACGGCCTGAAGAAAACCATATTATTCTAAATTAGGGCTTGTAACGACTTTAACTGTTGTTTAACACAGATGTAAATAATCCTGGAGCTTACTATAAGCATGTATATTTATAAAGAATCAAACGGCTGCAAGTTCTGTGGTATTTTCTGATCTTTGCAATCTAAATCGTACTGTATATCTGTATGCATTTTCCTGTATAAGTTTATTTTTATGTATTATAATTCCTTTTGTAAGGCACCAGAGTTTGATACATACGGAATTCTGCATAACTAGAGTTGCATCAAAAAATCATTTATGTTCTTTTTTTTACGACAGCCACACTTTATCTTTGTATATCATGGCTACTTCCTTAACAAAAACACTTAAAAAAAAGAATTTAACAAAAAAAAAAAAGTTTCCTCGACTGGGATTCGAACTCGAGACCTCTCGCTCACGAGGCAAGCGGGTTACCACTGTACCACGGAGAAATTATACACAGACTGTCTGAATAATATCAAGTCATTCTAAATTTAGAACTTCCATTGCAGTTCGGGTTTGTAATCCTTATTAATTTCGTGGTATTTTGTTCAGGGTAAACCTGTTGTTAATAATTGAAGTAAATATTTTAGCGAAAATCCTCTCGCCCAAACGGTCCGGCATGTAGAATCTATATATTCCACTACTCGGTTTGTGTAGTATTCGGTAATCAACATGGCTAAAAATAGTATTTTCATTGATAAAATCATATTCATCCGCGTAATTTGTGATTGTGCATTTATTGACAATTCTATAAGCCAACGCTATTGTTTAACTTTAAATGCGTTGTAGTTTGTTGGATACTTGTAACAAAATAAAATATTTCTTTCTTTTAAATCGCTAGTTTTAAGCTGTTTTGAGAACTACTTGTTGTTAGGTTTATAGTAAACTTCTGTGTCAGAGATTGAATGTCCGCTTTGTATTTAGTTATTTTCGATCAGAAAATACAATAAAACAATATTAGAAATCTTTGACCATTCGGGAATTACTTTGCTTGAAAATTGATGCGCCTGTCTTTGACCATCTTTACGCAGTGATCTCCCCTGATTTTTTCGGCTTTAGTGTACATACAAAAGGGAAGTAACCGCTCCAAAAAAGTGGACTACTTTCGGCATTTGCAATTAACAACATTAGACTCTGAAATTTCGCTACCATTATTTGTTTGGTCTGACGACCCAAACAAATAAAAATCGGGTGCAACGTGAAAGATTTGTTACTTTAAATAATCAGTTGCAAATTTTGTGCTGAAAATATCATATGAACATGTTTCCACTTTATTTGTAGCTAATTTCAATTTTTTAATTGAAGACATTGCATGAATATTTATGACTTCCGACAAGAAAAAAAACAACAGGTAGCCTGTTTAACGAAAATTTACCGACAATAATTATATAGAACGAGCTGTAGAAGGAACATGTAAGGAAGTTTTGTATTTTTAATAACGTATAGAGTAGCACAGATGCAACATAGTTTTAAAGCGGACAACATTTAGCAAATGATATGTTAATCAACGGACTTTTTTCCCAGCACACAAACAAAAAATCTGAAGGAATTCATTATTTAAGATGTTCAGAAATGACTGCTTGATGACATACTTAAATCTTAAATTTCATAGTAAGAAATATACAAAAACCTCAAATTTTTCTTGATAACACATTTTAGATATAAATCAAGAAAGAAAATAATTATTTGACAAAACAAAAAGAAGAAAAGGGACAAAATGAAAACAAATATTGTATCCTGTGGTGTTTTAATCCATGACCAATCGAAACTCAAAATGAATACTATTCAGATAGGTACTGCATTAGCCATCCAATACCGTAATGAATGCTATCATTGGTAAATCAAATTTTTCAATGTTAATATGACAGATAAACGAATGCTATTACTAGTGTCAACTTAATCAATGTTAATATGACAGATAAACGAATGCTATTACTAGTGTCAACTTAATCAATGTTAATATGACAGATAAACGAATGCTATTACTAGTGTAAATAAACTGTTATTATTCCAGTAATAAATAATTTTTTCCCCAGCTTCGGGTCCACAAATGTGGAACCCCAGTTATTGGAAAGTCATACATACAATCATACAATTATGCATATCATACAAATATATAAAGAAGATCAGTGAAAAACTAAAATTAAAATGGAAACATGTGATATGATACAGTTTCAAAATTTTCACATTAAATTTATAATATAATTTTGAAATGCGATTATATAAATATTCGTTAGGAGAACATTGTAATACTGCGGCTTTAAGATTTAATAATAATATTACATGATATTTATAAAAAAATGGTTTTGAGAGTTTTTGCATTCTTTTATGTTTTATGTATATAGTTATATAGGTTATTTTCTCATCATTGTCACCACAGTGCCTTCAGCTAGAAAACATAAACGAAAAGTGTATAAGAAAAACAGATTAGGTCTTCCAGTGGATTATGGTTTAGAAAATGAGTAAATATGTATATGAGAGTGTTATGTTATGTATAGTTCACGTAATTAATTACATAATAGGTAGAATTATTAACGCTATGGACAAGGATTATCTTAATTAAAATAAACATCAATTCCATGTCTCCTAAAGGACAAGTTAATCGACATATATCTGTTATTAGAGAATCTTTATATGTATTAATAGTGTAGTTTAACAATGACCATAGTTCCATGATTCTAAACGTCGTGTCTCATAAAGAAGGATAACTACTATATTAACATACGTTAACAAATTTACTTCCCTTTATTAGAAGAACAAAATTGCTAAGTTTTTATCCCTGGTTTAAGGTAATTTATCAAAATATACAATTACATATTTCGTTTAAAGCTTTAAACAAATAATATTAAAATCAGCTGTCTCTGCCTACCCTATCGTGGACCTGAACTAAACCAGAGCACGACCTGGGGCCTAGAAGCTCCAAAACGGTCTTCATGCGGCATCGCGCGCCCCAGGCCCTGCCAGTTGCACTCCAAACCCCGACCCTTAACGAAGGTCGATGAGTCAAACATGTATGTGACAGCTCCATCAATTTCAATATCTATATAATTGGGCATGTTGATGTAAAGCAACATATATGTAATTGTTTGAAATTAAAGCATTTTTCTACTATTTTTCTACCACACGATTCTAAGGAGAGTAAAAATAGTCTCTATTTGTAGTGTAAAATGTCTGTATGATGTACTGATGGCCCAGCTCCTTTTTTAATGATGTGTCACAAAAAATATAAGTATTACATTACAATGAAAAAGACAATGAGAAAAACATTCTACATGTATATGACACCTCTCTGACTCGTGATGGTATTATAGATTATTATTATTTTTAGGATTGATATAAACATTACATTTCCTTTTGTCGTTTCGGTTTGTACAATCAAAATAATAAGTTTATTGTTTACTGTTATATCTTAAAACTACTGTTATATCTTAAAACGCACTTGATACATATTGATTTTTGCTGCTCAATAATTGTCATAAATTTAGTCTTCAACTCCTAGAATTAAATTACCATTTGTTTACAAGTTTAGTTTAGACCGAAGAACCGTATCCGTTCTGTCTTACTATTGTATTAGAGGTTCTTATCCGTAGTTTGAGGAAATGATGAAGAGGCGATTAATAAGATTTCCCAGCACCGCTATGTTAAGTTACATTTACGGGTATTTCTATCCGGTAAGTAAGAAACAATTATCTTTACAAACCGACAGCTACTATTTTTCGTCGTCTACCTATCTAGGTAGAGCCAATCCTCTTATCATATGATACTTTTTGCTCATCCACGACGAGCACTTGGCAAGAGTAAATATTTCCGCTAGAAAAAACAACACATTTTCCAAACAAAAAAGGATTAAACATAAATATAATTAATAAGATTTCCCAGCACCGCTATGTTTAGTTACATTTACGAATATTTCTATCTTGTAAGTAAGAAACAATTATCTGAAATATAGATATCTACGGACGCTGTTTTTTTTTAAATCACGATTTTTCGTCGTCTGCCTATCTAAGTGGAGACAATTCTCTTATCATATGATACTTGTTTTCTCATACATGACGAGCACTTGGCAAGAGTAAATATTTCAGCTAGAAAAAACAAAGAAACACATTTTCCAAACAAAAATAGATTAAACATAATTATAAGCATAATAAACACAGGAAGAGCCTGACCTGTATGTTGCCAATTCCTTTCTTGAGTTCGGCTTTATCATTCAGGTTGAAAACAACATCTGCCTGATCATCAAACGTAGTAAGTGCAAATCGGATTCCATCTGTGTCTACAATGAGACAGAAATTGTGTTAACGTGAAAAGAAATAACAGTGACGATAGTTTGTATGACATTTTGAGTGACAAGAAATCAAAAGATGACGTTATTTTGTATGACATTTATTGTGACAAGAAACAGTTGACAATCGTTTGTAAAATTTACTTTTTGTAAGTGAGACAATTTCGATTTATATTTTAAAAAATGGTCTATAAAGATAAAATATACCTCCGGACTCTCCTTTTGAAAAAGAAATGTCTACGAGTAGTTTCATAAATTTCTTTGCAAAATTCATTGGCCTGTCTTGAGTGCTGGAGGTTACATCCACAGGAATTACCTCATCGACACCACTTTTACCAAAGCTTAAACGAGCTGAAATTTATAGAAAATTACCCCAAACAATACGACATCAATATCACGCCTAGAAGGCCTGAAATGTATTGAATTTATCATAAACAATGCGACATTTAAACTTCCCGTACCAGGACTTTAGCCGGATGAAATGTATCTATTAAACAATACCAGGGTTAAAACGAAATAGAAATTCATCACAAACAATACCACTTTACCAGGGCTTAAAAGGGCTGAATTGTATAGAAAATCATCACAAACAATACCGCATCCCTACCACTCACAAGGGGTGGGATTTAACGAGCTCAATTTATAGAAATTGATCACAAACAATGCCTTTACACGACAACTCATACTAGGGATTAAGGAAGTTGATGTTTATAGAAATTTATCACAAACAAAGCCATATCACGACCACTTATACTAGGGATTAAGGGAGTTGAAGTTTGTAGAAAATTATCACAAACAATACCGCATAACGACTACTCAGGGACAACGACAGGGATTAAACTAGCAGAAGTTTATAGAAATTTATCAGAAACAATACCGCATAACGACTACTTATACCAGGGATTAACCGAGCAGAATTTTATTGAAAATTATCACAAACAATACCGCATAACGACTACTTATACCAGGGATTTACCTAGCTGACATTTATTGAAATCTATAATATTGAAGGTAACACAGTACTTGTTGCAAACATGAGAATAACACAGTACTTAATTGTTGCAAACATGAGAATTACAGAGTACTTGTTGCAAACATGAAAATAACACAGTGCTTGTTGCAAACATGAAAATAACACAGTATCTGTTGCAAACATGAAAATAACACAGTACTTGTTGCGAACATGAACATAACACAGTACTTGTTGCAAACATGAGAATAACACAGTACTTGTTGCAAAAATGAGAATTACACAGTACTTGTTGCAAACATGAAAATAACACAGTACTTGTTGAAAACATAAAAATAACACAGTATTTGTTGCAAACATGAAAATAACACAGTACTTGTTGCGAACATGAACATAACACAGTACTTGTTGCAAACATGTAAATAACACAGTACTTGTTGCAAACATGAGAATAACACAGTACTTGTTGCAAATATGAGAATAACACAGTACTTGTTGCAAACATGAAAATAACACAGTACTTGTTGCAAACATGAGAATAACACAGTACTTGTTGCAAACATGAAAATAACACAGTACTTGTTGCAAACATGAAAATAACACAGTACTTGTTGCAAACATGAAAATAACACAGTACTTGTTGCAAACATGAGAATTACACAGTACTTGTTGCAAACATGAGAATTACACAGTACTTGTTGCAAACATGAAAATAACAAATTCTTGTTGCAAACATGAAAATAACACAGTACTTGTTGTTAACATGAGAATTACACAGCAATAATTGTATACTAGTACATAAGAATAACACAATAACTGTTACACACAAGGGAATAACATAGTTACAGTTGCAAACGTGAGAATCACACAGTATTAGTTGCACTTATGAGAATAACACAGTATCAGTTAAGTACAATTTAAAATTTAAAACAAATATGAACACAGTCAATGTTTAATTCATGAGAAAACCATTAAGTGCTAAATACACGAGAATCACACAGTATGTTTTGAATAGATTAGAATATCACAGTAGCTGTTGATCACATGAGACTAACACTGTAACTTTTGAATAGATGATAATAGCACAGTTAATGTTGAAGACATGACAGTAACTCAGTTACTGTTGTACACATGATCATACCGATACATGACTCAGAAACTGTTGATCACATGAGAATTACACAGAAACTGTTGAGTACATGAAAATAACACAGTAACTGTTAAACACATAATAAATACACATAACACAGTAACTGTTAAGTACATGAAAATAACACATAAACTGTTGATCACCTGTAAATAACACATCAAGTATTGAACACATGAAAAAAAACAGAAACTGCTGGATAGATGAACATAAATGGTTAACTGTTAATTATATGAATAATAACACAGTAACTGTTCAACACATAAGAATAACACAATAATTGTTGAACACATGCGAAGAACACAGAAATGTTTGAATACATGAGAGATTCAACAGTTACTTTTGAATACATGAGAATAACACAATAACTGTTGAATGAGTAACAGCATTAGAATAACTGTAAATCTCATAAAAATATAACAGGAACTGTTTAACACATAAGATAGCACAGTATCTGTTGGAAAAATGAGAAGAGAACAAAACAGTAAATGCTTGTTCCATTAGAATAGCGCAGTACCTGTGTTTTAAATAAGTTTCAGTCTTTTTACTTAAACTAAAATTATGGAACTTACATGTGCAATTGAATTCCGTGCATATTGTATCGTAAAGGACAAAATAAAAAAGCTTGTATACAATGTGACTAAATTTTAAGCTGCAAGCCTCCAGATGAGCAAACATATTTTCAAGAAAATCAAGATTGAGAAATGTATAATGTGATTCAATAAATCATTTACAAGCGTGGAGGGGTCGAGCAAGTATGCAATTTATTATTACTACATGACATATGACTGAAACATTGTAATCTCTCATTTAAATATTTGCAGTAATCATCATTTGGCTATAGTGGCTGATTTGTGCCATTCGTGTCCCCCCCGTGACCCCGCCAAGCGAAAAAGCAAGAATTACAAAGTTCAAATAGCGGGGGCGCGGAACGCAAACAAGCTAATTAGCGAGGACAATGGGCGAAGTTTAATCCCGCGACCCCGCTGTTTTACTTCTTAAATCTCGCTCCGAGCTCCCGCGGGGCGAAGTTTTATTTATTAAACTTCACCGCGCCCTCGCTAATACGCGTGTTTTCGCTGCGCGACCTCATCATTTTAACATTTAAAGTATCGACTTTTCGCTTGGCGGCGTCGCAGGACGAAAACATGCTAATAAGCGTGGGCGCGCGGCGAAGCTTTATTTAATAAACTTCGCCCGCGACCCCGCTAATAAGCGTGTTTTTGTCCCGCGACCCCGCCATTTAATTTCTTAAAATCTCGCTCCGTGACCCCGCGGACGAAGTTTTATTTATTTAATTTCGCCCGCGCCCTCGCTTATAAGCGTGTTTTCGCTCCGCACCCCCGCCATTTTAAATTGTTAATTTTCGACTTTTTGTTTGGCTGGGTCGCGGGGCGAGAACACGAATGGCACAAATCAGCCACCATATTGGGAAGAATTTTGTCAACCCTATATAACAAGTTCATTTAAAGTGTCAGACATATTATTCTTCTAGCCAAATTACTTCTTTAGCATGAATACTCAATTTTAAGGTAGGTTTAGTGGTCAATTATTATAATGTACGTCTATGAGAAAATCAATACAGTAGTCTGACCATATGATGACATATGACTGAAATATTGTACATTTAAATTCTTATTCGACAGATTACAACTCGTCCGTATTAATGTGAAAAGACAAGTGACCGGGGGTCAACGTAAATGGTTCACACGCCACTAACTGGTACCTTCTTTAGGCTCGAAAAATACTTAGGAAACTTTCGTTTGACTAGCGTACAGGAAACTGCATTGGCCAGTGTTCACTTTAAATATACTCATATGACAATACCAAAAATAAAATGAAATTAAAGCTATTACGTACCTCTAGCATTTGTTGTTCCGAAGGGAAATACTGTCAGAAAAATAATCCATGAGACAATACTTGTCAGCGCAATAAGACGTTGCAATGCCATCCTAGTTTAATATATCTTCAATAAATGTCTAAAATGTTTAAAGCGTGGCAATATATCTACTATTACGATGTTAAAAACAGGTCGACCTGTTCGTTAAAGATCCTTTCTCGTTATAAACTCGCATAAAACTAACTGTTAGTTCTTACACGTTTTTATTTCCATCAAGTTTCTCTGTTATTACTGCTGAAAAATAATTATACTTTTGATAACCAATGAAAAAGTAGGTCATAGTCCTGTTTATATATACTACTCAACTTTTGCTAAGAATCATAACTTAAGTTTTGTATTATCACAAGAATAAAAATGATTTCTAACCAATTTTCAGAAATGTTTTGAGACTTACCCTGACATGAATCCGTGTTGACTAATCCACTAATCCGTTACAACTTGTCTAGGTAGCATGGAAAGCATGTACCCCAATATTTGCATGTTTTTCATACATTGTTCACTACAATCACATGTTTTTGTTATACGGCGACATTAAAGGCTTAATATCATTCAGTGGCTTACATTTCTTACATATTTAACTTCGATATGGCGAATGCTAACATAAGGCAGCATTTGAGAGAAGCAGAGTTATGGAGAGCTGCAGGAAGTGGCAGCCGGGGGCGAACTTCCGCAAGGTTGTCGTCACAAGAGCTAGGGAGAAATACCGGCTACATGGTACACCCGCCAGGTGGCACGTTGGAGGTCACCAGCTCAGGATCGGATTTTGTTTTCGTCGTTCAGGTATGTCGTGCACGGGTTTTGACAGTAATTTCTTTTCGAAATGGCCTTGCTTATGCTTCTGGAGTCCGTTTCGCCACGCAGTCGGTACGTAGATGGCTGCATATAGGTAATTTGTGGTCGCGAAGACCCTGCAAACGTATTCCCTCAATGCGTCGACATCGCCAGGCTCGTTTAGATAAAATATAAAGCATACACGGTAGACCGTTCAACACCGGAGACACGTTCTGTTCACTGATGGGTTCTGCCTAGATTTCACAGAAAGGCGTGCAAGAGTCTGGAGAAAACGATGTGAATGATTTCAGGCTGCATATATTGATGAGCATGACCGCTAAGTTGGTGGGTCAAAAATGGTGTGGGGAGACATTAACTGGGAAAGACGAACCGACCTGGTTGTGCTAAACAGAGACAAATTGACAGGTCAGCGATACAAAGACTACATTTAAGACAACCAAGTTAGGTTGTATGCTGGGGCAGTCGGCGATCAGTTCATTCTAATAGACAATTATGCTTGCCACCCCCCCTTGGGCCAGGGTGGTCCAGGACTACCTAGAGAAGGAGTTTATTGTACGCATGCATTGGCCAGCACCTGGCTTAAATCCAATAGAACACATGTGGAATGAGCTGCAGGTAAGAATTTCAGCTCATCAGCTGCAACCCAGAACCGTCCAGGACCTTGGAGCCATGTTGGTCCGAGAATGGGTAGCTATACCCGTTAAAACAACCAGAAACCTAATCGGGAGTATGAGAAGGCACTGCCAAGCTGTCATTAACAGTCACACACACACACAGTATTAAGTCTAAAACTGTAAGAAAAAAATGTAAAACACGCTGCATGTTCTGAAATCTCCAAAGAGGGGGGCGCACAAAATTAGTGTAAAACTCAGTTATAGGGTTAAATTCGCCCTTTAGCAGAATTGATAAAACAGTTAATCAACATTAAAAACCTTTCGCACGGCATTAAGAAAATTATCCCAAAAAATATTCACACTCAAACATATGGTGCCTAGCAAAAGTTGAGTAGTATACATTAAATCGCTGACAAAAACAAACGTTAATTTATTTCTAAAAAAGTTCAGGGTCATTAAAAATTCGCACGAGTAGGCTTGTGATTTAATGTACTGCATGCAGGCATGTCAGAATAATCATACAGTTTATCTGTAGATATATATTTTTTACAACCTACAGCAATACACTGTTTACATCATGTTTCAATGAAATGTTATTTTAAATCTGTTGCGGTGCGTATAAACTTTATTTCTGATCAGTTAAAGATTTGTGAGTTAATAATTTACTAGATTGAAGTTTTGGGTAATGTGTAGCTATAATTTAAAAAACTATTTTTTGTGGGGTTTTTCATATTTTGAGGCGAAATTTTTATTGTTTTCCGGGGATTGTTTTGTAATTTTGTTTAGCCTTATTTATAGTTTTTGATTTCGTTATAAATATGATGTTTGCTTGAAGAATGTTTGTCAAAATTCTAATTTATGTTTTGTTTTTGAAGGTGTCTGTAAAATTATTTGCCTATATGTCTTTATTATACTTCACGTTTGTTATGTCGATTTTCATTGGATAATCGTGCAGTATTATAATATTAGTTATAAAGATTTTTGACAGGTTATATGACCTTTTTTACAGGTTTTATGGCCGTTTGTTTCCGAAAACCTAAGCAAAGGTTTTGCTGCAACCGATTATATAAGGCCGCATAACCCGTAAAAATCTTCATAACAACTTTTGAATATATCAAGCATTTGTTTTATTGGTAAAAAAATGATTATTTCATAAATAAACAGCATCCGTGTTTATTTAGAGGTTAATACTTGGTTGCTGCTCGACATTATGCGATAATGGCCCGAAGATGTGCATAATGGCCTGAGGGCCGCAGGCCCGAAGGACATTATGAACTCGAGGGCCATTATCGCATAATGGCGAGCAACAACCAAGTATTAACGTCTTTAATACCTATGTCCGAAATACGACATTTAAACATCGCCACTTATCCTGGTTGTCGTCCTTTCTAAGAAACGGACAGTTGTCAATGTAAACAAACATGACATTCAGTTTAACCCTCCGATTACCTTTGAAAACATGACAAAACAAAATAAATATGAGACAATTTTGATATCTATAAATAGTCTATTTTTTGTGAGAATAACATTTAGTGACAGTTTTTTATGAACATTTGTGCCTTCAAAAACGGTTTTCTAGACTGATTTGCCATCGATCCGATCTTTTTTATACCGTCAAATTGAAATCATTTTTGGAAGTTCTGAGGGTCATGTTTTGTCTTGTGTAGAGTTATTGTATTCTTTTCTTGAGTTTATAAATCTTCTATGTTAAGCTTTGTTGATTGAGTTTGATAATGTCATTTAAACTTTAAATTTTGTGTTCAAATGACTACAGTTCATTCAAAGTCAGCAGCCATCTTGAAATTCACTGAGAGTCGATTACGTCATTTTGCACGTGCGCTCATTCACTCGCCCCTTATGGAAAAAAAAATGCCGAGTAGCAAGGCGGCAGAAATTGCACAGTGACCTAGATCTTGCTATAATGGCCCTGAAATACACTAGATTTTGTTACTATATATAGTAACATAGGTATTGAATAGCTATATAACTATTATGATTATCCAATAAAAAGTGACGTTACAAACGTGCAGTATTATAAAGTTTGTTTCTTGTATATCAGACAGGATTATCTACAATTAACACGGCGATGCTAGAAAAACCTGCCTAACACCCTCATGTAAGACAAGTCGCGCGCTTTAAATAACGTCATTGCTGCGCGCCATTTATGAATGAATTGCGTTCTCAGGAAGACGTCATTATACCATAGTGAATGAAGCGGTATTTTCATACGCTACTATAAGGAAAAAGTGCGTTTTGAGAATTTTAGTTTTCGTGATATCTGTTCTGAAAATAATTGATATTTAATATGCAAGAAAAAGAATCAAACATCGGCTGTCGGTACAGCCTGGAATATCTTACACAAGGGGAACTGTTTAGCGGCAACTCGGCAGAGCCTCGTTACCGCATTAAACAGTTAACCTCGAGCTAGACATTCCGGTCAGTACCGGCAGCCATTGTAAGATTCTAATTATATATAATTATGTTGTTTTAAACACTGAAAGAAAGCGTTTCTCTGATGTCAACATAAGAAAAGGGTTGTTCTAAGTTGAGAAATGCGTTATGTCAAGTTAAACCCACACGATAGACATTAATGGTATTGGGACCACCGTACTGTGGTGCAATCGAATCCACTGCCATCTGCGTTGTTATAATTTTTTGTCAATTCTTCTATAAAAAGGCAGTAACAATATTCAAAAATTCAAAATTATGTTGTTTTGGTGCAAGTATAATACATATGATGTAATGCTGGTGCATTAAGTGGCAATTTTGCACTCAATTGTACGTGTTTTTACCTAGAATAGGCAAAAGTTGCGTCCCCGCGTCAAACTGTACATAAGTGTTAGCAAAAATTGCAATGAATTGCACCGTGTGAGTGTAATAAGTTGGAAACGTACATATGTGGGGTTCCAGTCACACTAGGTGTTTCCGGTAAAACATTAAAATATGAAATTCAGTCATAAATTTACCGACAGCAGCAAACAACCATATTTTATCCACCGCAACCATATTTTATCCACTTTCAAACAGAACTATAGTATAATCATTATATATAACAAAATAACTTGTACATATTATTCCCCTTTAATATGCAAACAATGATACGTAATATCTTAATTCTGATATCTTCTTAAACTTGAAGAAATGGTCAAATCTTAAATTTCAATATTAAGATGTGCTCAGTAAAAACACATATGTGTTGTAAATATTAGACTGGTTCAACATTTCATCAACATTTAAAGTTACATTTAATAAATTTCATAAAAACAGAAATAGCAACATTTCATTAATAAATTGGGTTTCATATCGACTCCAGATCTTATTTTGGTGTCCACACAACCAAAATGAGTTTCATAAGCATAAAAAATGGACAACCTCATTGTGGCGAAATCGGAAGTACAATATCTGTTTGCATGAGAAAGTCAGCCTTCAGCAATATTAAATCAACAAACCTGACTATAGGTAGCAGTCCTAATTTAACGGTATATTTCTGCATTGTAACGGATGTTTTCATACAAATTTAATCTTTTTTTATGAGATGATTACTTTTTACTGAACCTCAGGCCTAGTGCACCGTGTAGTTAAACGGTTAAAATGTGTTTGCACAAGACAATCTCATATTTGTTGTGTTCCGGATAACAGCTATAACACTGTGATGTAGCGCATACACAAGCTGATTATAATCTTCATTTGCATGTTAAAATCATAGGAACTCGAGAAGGGGACCGCAGATTGCGGCGTATATTTTCGATCGTGTAACGGTTTTTAAAAACGTTTCTCCTACATCTAAATATCTTTTAGTATTATCCAAGTGTATGGACTCAAAAAAATTTATTATTAATTGAACCCAATCTGTCTCTTTTAAAACT